ACACTTCGTGTTTGCAACTTTGAAACAACGGTTGACTCCGGCAAATACACGGAAGCTAATCCGTCTCCTCCACCTCCCGATCAAATCTCCGGCCGCAGCCGCCATTTTCGCTAGACAAGACGTCCATGAGTTTCTTGATTCATCAATCCGAGTAGGAAACAAAGAAGACGAGTTCGATTTCGATTTCAAACCCTACATGATAAGCAAAGCAGAGTCAGTAAACAGAGCACTAGACGAAGCCATTCCACTCATCGAGCCTCTCAATATCCACAAAGCAATGCGTTACGCGATTCTCGCGGGCGGAAAACGCGTTAGACCAATACTCTGCCTCGCCGTATGCGAGCTACTCGGAGGGGAAGAGCGTTTGGCGATTCCGGCGGCTTGTGCGGTTGAGATGATTCACACAATGTCACTCATCAAAGACGATCTTCCTTGTATGGACAATGACGATCTCCGACGAGGAAAACCGACCACACACAAGATTTTCGGAGAAAGCGTCGCCATTCTCTCCGGCGGTGCACTCCTAGCTCTAGCTTTCGAACATTTGACGGAGGCTAACGTGTCATATGAGAGAATGGTTCGAGCCGTTAAGGAATTGGCTAAGTCCATAGGAACCAAAGGACTCGTAGCGGGACAAGCAATGGACTTGAGTAGTGAAGGGTTGGATCCTAACGACGTTGGATTAGAGCATCTTGAGTTTATTCACGTTCATAAAACCGGTTCTTTGCTCGAAGCATCGGCGGTTATCGGAGCGATCATCGGAGGTGGATCAGAGGAAGAGATAGAGAAAGTGAGAAAGTTTGCGAGGTGTATTGGATTGTTGTTTCAAGTGGTTGATGATATTTTGGATGAGACAAAGTCGTCGGAGGAATTGGGGAAAACCGCAGGGAAAGATCAGATCGCCGGAAAGCTGACGTATCCGAAGGTATTGGGAATTGAGAAATCGAAAGAGTTTGTTAGGAGATTGAAGAACGATGCGAAAGAACATCTTAAAGGGTTTGATTCAGAGAAAGTGAAACCTTTGATAGCTCTTGCTAACTTCATTGCCAACAGAGATAACTAAAATTGTGGTTTGTTAGTAAAATAGACCAAAATGTACTTTACCAATTTCAAAGTGTTAATTTTTGTTTTTAATGTTTTTCAAAAAGCTCGAACACGAAGTTATATTTTTTCCACCGATGTAACAATAAAACCCCAAAAACACATCCCATATTTGATTTTGGAGTCACGTTGGCCTTCTACATACCATATACAGTGGAATTAAAATTGTCTTTCTCTAATCACATTCTTTGCAATAGCTCGAGCAATAGAACCAACACCAAGTGATTAAATGAAGAAAACTTAACACCTATGAATCGAGCCTTGGTTGCACATGATGGTAACTTCTGGTACAACTTTTGACAAAGTAATCTATAAATTTTTGAATTGAGTGAATTTTTTTCTAGAATTAAACTAGGTGATTAAACAGTCAACTGTTGAATAAGACTAACCATCACATCGACCAACAAGTAAATTGACTTCTTAAACAGTTCGATGATGATACTAAAATGTTGAATAAGACGTAATAACCAATGTTTCAAGACCGAATTATCGTTAAATAAGAACCAGAGAGACACCCCTCCCTAGTCGTCATCAACTAACTCTTCACGTCTTAATTTTTTTAATTACTAATATTGATTGATTAAGGATCCAGCTTAGGAATCTTCTTAAGCATTGACTAAGCACATAAACATATACATCCTAAACACAAGACTGATTACTATATATAATAAAAAGCCATAATCAATGGCATAAAATCTTACAAGTATCTCTTTAATTAATGTATTGAGCAAAAGGTTGCCTCAGGGCAACTAATAACAATTAAGATGAGATTATCCTTAGCTGTTCATACCTCTTGTGCTAAAGAAAACAAACCAACAATATCTTCAAAGCCAAACACGAATCCGAATCCGAGTCCGAATCCGCCTTCTCATGACAACATTTCCGTCCTGATCATTAATCGAAAACACACAAAAAAAGAAAAACTCAATCAAAACAATTCATAAATCATAATGCTGAATCACAATTTTGTTCAAACAACCATCAAGCAAGTAAGTTTAGTTATCGAGCTAGCATTAGGGATCTTACCAGGTAGCTTCTTCGCTAGTTGAACCAGTCGGGTATCGGATTATCCTCTGCAGAATCACAGTTCTCGCCTTTGTCACATCACTACAGTACTTATTCGCATGTTTCCCGAGTTCTTCAATGGTTTCAGTAAACACATCGAGCTTTTTCTTGATCTCATCTATCGCAAGCCTTACCACTTTCTCCTCTGTAACAGCAAACTCAGCTTTCTTTAACAAAGATTCAATCTCTACTTCCACTTTACGCACAAGAACACTTATATTATCCATCTCCTTAACCGATATAAAAGTCCCGATTCTAATCGTTGTAATAATCTCCTTCTGCCCTCTAACAACTTTCTCGTATTTAGTCCACAGAGAGTTACACCATTTGCCAACAGATCCCACTGGAACAGCCAATGCACCGGCTATAGCTGCCACAACAGGCGGTGCAGCCACAGCGGCTGCAACCACCGAGAAGATAAGCACAGAGATAAACGCAGTCACAAACACCATATTCGATACTCTTCTCCATGTTTTGATATTCTTAAGTTTCTTATCAAGTTTCCTCTTAAGCTTATGAAGCTCCTCAAGCATCAGCACCTGATGTTTATGTACCGAATCGAAAAGAGCAAAGAACTCATTCGTAAACGGATCACCTGCTAATTTAAACCTCTTAAGCTCCTCGAGCGTCTTCTCATACTTTCGATTCTCGTTATCCCCATTTACCGGTATCTCAGCCTCTTCCTCAAACTGTTTAACAGCAAACTGAATAATCACTTGGCTTCTCCTCGCGCGGTTAAGACAATTCTCGAGCTCAGAACAGAAATCCATAGTCTGCGCAGTGCTTTCGAAATACAAATTCACAAGTGAAAACAAGTCTTGATTGTTCCATATATCTTCTTTGTCCTGCAATATAACTTTAACAACATCTTGATTCATATCTAAAAGACATTGCGTAACTTCTCTAAGCGAATCAAACGACAAAGACTTGATCTCTACTCCTGATGCAAGCTTGCTAATGACTCGATTCGTTCGTTCGTGAAGCGCCGAGTCAAAAGACTCGAGCTTTGGATCTTCACTACAAGCTGTTTCGTAAGAAGACAAATGTTCTGTGTAAGCTGAGTTTATCTTGATCTGTACAGGTGTCGAAGGTGAACCAAACTCATCAGTAGGCTTCTTCTTCTTGCTAGATTTTCCTCCCATCATTCTCTTACTATCTACCAAATTGTTCAACTTTAGAACCTAATCAGAGAGCAAGAACTACGAATTAGATTTGATTATTCCAAAAGCAGAGGAGGCTAGAGAAACGAAATGGGTATTTGATATATAGCTTAAAGCAAGTGAATTTGTAACGAATCTTACGGAGCAATCTAAAATTGAAACCGACATGGAAGAGAGAGAGAGAGAAAAAGGAAGAAACTTTAACCGCAAGAGTACTAAAAAATCGCAGGAAATCAGTGAAAAAAGTGAGATTCTAAGATCATACCTGGAATTTTGCAGATGAGTTTGGTAATGAAAATGTAATTAAGATTCTGTAAGAAGAAACAAAGACAAAAAAAGGTGGGATTTTATAAAGGTGAAGAAGTGCTTGTTTAGGG